CTCCCCCCCCCCGAGCCCCCAGCTCTCCCCCCTTCCCCCTTCCCACACCCACGGGAGATTCCCGGCCCCAGCTGCCCGCAGCCGCTCTCCCCACCAGCCCGGGGAAGGACCAGCAAGCGATTCCTGCCCCCGGCACCGTCATCTCCAGCACTTCGGCGTCCGGCAGCGACAGCCTGCAAGGGGAGAGCCGGAGGAGCCGCGGTCAGTGCAGCGAGGGACCTTCTCTCCTCGCCCCGGAGAGCGGCTCAGCAGCAAGAGCGCGCCCAGAAGAGTTTCTAGGTCAAATTATTCCCGATGTGAGCCAGAGCTCAGCCAGTTTGCAAGTGTGTAGGAATAGATCAAGCCCGACTACAGTAAAACCCATGCAAGCAAAAAATGCAGGTTTAATTGCACTTTATTTTTCAAAAAGTGAAATGCAAAGCCCAGCTGCTCTCTATCTGTAATGGGAAACACGAAGTGGAATTTGTGACTCTTGGCAACAGCCTCCACCAGGACACCGCGTGGGACAGGGGTCCGGAGGGCGGCTCAGGGTGCCCAGGCTCAGCCCAGCACCAGGACGGGGAGCCCCAGGGAACCTGGGGTTCACCCCTGTCACAGGCAGCACGCCGTAACTGGGCGGTGCTCTGCCTTCTGGAGCGGCTCCCCAGGACACCCCAGCTCAGGTCACCCTGTGAGACCAGCGGGTGCTCCACAGGCTGTGGTCTCACCCACCATTTCGGCAGCTTTGGCCATCTGCGTGAGGGACCTCACGCGCCACTGCACTCCCGAACACCCGGCGCTCTCCCCCTCTCCCCTGCCCCAAGAAATTGCATTTAGGACACAGATCAAATTCAGAGAATAAGAGGCAGTTGTAGAAATTAACTATGGTGGAATTATTTCAAGCACTTCTTAGTAAGTGAAGGGGGGGTTATTTGTTTTGAAGATACCAGGAACTGCTCGTACTTTTGTGTTAGTGCCGGTGAGTGCAGGAGGAAAAGGGCTACGAGGGATGGGGGTGTTCGCCCAGCTGCCTGCCCTCGCTGCCTTCCCCTCCTGGTCGCAGAGCTCCACCCCAAACCCCCGACCTGTAAGGCAGAGCCCAGCTGAGGCTGGCTCGCAGCTTACGTCCCACCACCACCAAGTTTTAACTTGTGCCATGATGGCCCCGCTTCAAAGAGCAGCAGAGAAAAAGGCACCAGAGAGGGGCTCGGCTGCCTGCGGCCGCCCTCTCCACAAGCAGGCCATTA